TAGTAAAGTGAGATTTAAACAAGGAATGGGCCAAGAAATTGGTCACCTTATAAGGAAATAAAGTTAATAGTAATTTGAAAAATAATATTAATATCTCCCTGTTCACACTGAAAACACTTTTCAGTTTTTTTTAGTTTTGTGTCATAGGGATATGCCCAATACAGGTCTGTAGAGTAAAGCAGTAAAAAAGAAGACATTGTGAGCTGTCAGCTAAGGATGTCACTTCTGTTTTGTTTCTAAAAATGGCAGATGAGTTGCATATGTCACGATAGTGCTGGCCCTCTTCAGTGTGGTGGTGTGGTACAGGCAGTTTTCAACTTAGTGTTCGGAGTTGCAATGTTTTGCACTTACAACACACATAAATTGACACTGTTTCAACTTTCTGACATCAGTTTCAACTTTACAATGCTTGATCTAACTTGACGTTGCATCAGCTAATAAGTTCGCTGCATTGCCCATCTCCCTGGAGAACATCTGTCCAAAATTCTTTGGACACTTTTTTTCTTTAAGAAAGCAGACAAGACTTCAGAAAAACCTGCAGCCAAGATTCCTGGGAAGACTCCAGCCAAGAACCCTTCAAAAAATCCAACCAAGAGTCCTTCAAAAAGTCCAGCGAAGTCACCTCAAAGAAGTCCTTCCAAATCAATATGATTGCTATTTACAATATAAATACATTAACGTAGCTATATTACCCCAGAATTTTGTACTCAGTCAATTATAGATGAGTATTTTTGGTGAAAATAGGGTATTGGGCCTTGGTTCAGGAACCATCTCCCCATTTACGCCACTGTTTCCTATGGGAAAATCAGTTCCGAGTTGCAATGTTTTGACTTAAGACGCAGTTTTCAGGAACCAATTGTGTCATAAGTCTGAGGGGCTGCCTGTATTATGGTGGTTGGTGTTAAAGAGCTAAGGAGAAGGAATTCAAGTAAAATGAGGAAAGGGGAAATAAATTGTGGGAGATCCAGTTTCCTCCCTAGTTATTACACAGGGGCCCTTTAACTGAATTGGTGTACATATTGTACAACAAGAAGAATGGCTGCATAGGGTAGCCATGCAGTCCATTTGTGGCATTTTGCATATTTAGAGGAATGGTAGGTTGGGACACTTACTTTGATGCGGATGAAGGGATACTTGAGAAGTCCTGTTCAGGTTGTGGGTGCCACTCAGAAATCTAGCATAGTTGAGTAGCTTGTTAGAGGCTTTTTAGTGTCTGTTTTTTGTTGATCAGTATGATGTAACATGAGCCTCTATATATGACAGTAACTAGTTCAAACTTGTACCTTTTAAAGGGCACAGATAGAAGTTACATTTTTCACATGATTGGCCCCCCTGAAAGTACCCTACAGTTGTGCCATGATACGTGTACGTGGCTGTAAAGCGCTTTTAAAGTATCCGATCACACAAAAAAAAATCGCACCTCATCTGATGCCTCAAATGAAGGCGCTCTACTTGGAGCGCCTTAAGGAACTTGTGTTCTCTAGGACTAATTTTGTCATGCGATTGGGGCTGTTAGCAGGAAGGGAGGGGCTGGTGCTGGCTTGCCCCTTCCTCCTCCCTTCTTGCTGACAGCCCCAGCCTTGGGGTGGGGGAGCTCCTCAGCTGGCTGCTCACCTGCAGGCAGGCTCTATTCCCACCCTCTTCCCCCCCCCCCCCCCCCCCACACC